TTAATATTAATTAATATTAATACTATTATAGATTCCCTTTTGAATAACATTAACCAGTCTAACCTGGTCGACAGCAATGAAATTCTAACAGCAAAGCAATTAGGACAAATTAACAAACATATACAAACATCATACATATCAACTAGGAAAAGTGAATTACATAACGACAATCGATCAAAACAAAATGAAAAAAATATATTAAGAACATACAGAGAATTAAAAAAACAATTTTGCTTTCGAAACCTACCTTGTTACCCTGCAAAATATTGAGTTGAGCGAAAATTTAACTAAATTCTGCCCTTGTGACCACAACTTGGAAATTGAGACTGGCAGACACAAAGGAATACCCCTTGCTAATAGATTATGCAACCTTTGTGATCAAAATGAAGTAGAAGACGAGTATCACCTCATGATGTCATGCAAAAGATATACCCCCGAAAGAAATATCCTATTTGAAATGGCAACAACCAAAATCCAAAACTTTAAAAATTTGCCATCAAAGACACAATTCATATTAGCCTTGCTAAACAACAGTGGTCTAACACTCCCTGTAGCAAGGTACCTAAAGAAGTGTTTTGAAATAAGACAGCAACCCCAGTAACAATCCTCTTTCAGTGTTTAAGTTTTGCATTTTGTTTTCTATCTATTGTAGTATTATAATTTAATCCTAATATGTTTTATTCTCTGTAATGTATTAGCTTAGTCTGTTTTATTTTATCTATTTACTTTTTTGTAACCTTGTATTCCTTCTCAAACTTTTGTAACCACTGCCAATTAATCCCTCTGGGGAATGTGTAAGTGCATGTTAATAAAATTACTTACTATTAATGAAACAATAATTTAATGGCAATACTACTATAATGTAACAGTAATTTCATGGAAGTACTACTAATGTAACACTATTCTTATGGCAATACTACTAATGTAACAATACTTTTAGGCAATATTAAATGGCCGCCATTTGCCAATCTTGATCGGAAATGTATTCTTGCACTTATGTATTTCTATGTAAAGTATGTCTGTGATTGGTCAAGGAATACCAAAAATACTGGCAAAAATTATAAACCCCTTCAGCCAAACACAAACTAATAACAATATTCTGATGTCAATACTACAAACATAGCAATACTTACATATTGTTGCCATGGCGGCACTACTAATGTTGATACTACAAACATAGCAATACATACATATTTTCGCCATGGTGGCACTACTAATGTTGATACTACAAACATAGCAATACATACATATTGTCGCCATGGTGGCACTACTAATGTTGATACTACAAACATAGCAATACATACATATTGTCGCCATGGTGGCACTACTAATATTGATACTACAAACATAGCAATACATACATATTGTCGCCATGGTGGCACTACTAATGTT